AGTTGCAGGAATTCGGTGCGTCTTTGGACACCTCCTTGGCAGGAGCGTGTGGCTTTGCTAGGGCTGGCTTCCTTGTGTGATTTTTTTCAATCGATGTTAGATGCTGGTAGCTTTGCTCTTGAGTATTAGGCCTGGTCATGCAAAGTCCAAAGTAGGAAAGGAGAGAGGCAGATGTGCTGCTTTACTGCTCTGGAGCTGCTCCGCTTGTCTGGCACATTTCCGTGCTGGATGTTCTGCTTCAGTCTCAGATCTGAGGAGTTGTTACTCGTCTGTCACTTCATGCTGTTTCTAGGTGAACGGCCTAAATTGCAATGCTTTGGTTGGTCGTTGTTGGACTCTTTTTTAAGATCTCGCCAGTAGAATTAAAAGCAGTTTTTTATCATCACAACCATTTCTAGACTCGCTGCAGAAGATTTGCATTTTAAATTGCCATTTTAAAAGTCTGGTTTGTGCACTACCTACTCACAGGTTAGAAAATACTATCTGTCAAGCTACACAAAGCTCTGTTAGAAGCAAACCCTGATTTTATGGCTATTCCTTATACCATGCAGGAGGTAAAACACTCTGACAGAACACTTATCTGTAAGACTTGGCATTGTGCTTCCAACTCAGTTCTTGATATTTGGCAGTATTCTGAGAAACGGAAAGGGAAGTCATCTGACAAGGAGAATTTTACCAATGCCACCAAATCTGCTTCCTTCATATGAGAAACATGATACACCGTTATCCTGAGCTGCTGTGGTTAAGCTTGGGGCTTGTACCACAAGAATGAGTAGGGGCTCTCAGCCACCTTCTGCACCTTGTCTTGTCATTCTTCCATAACTGATTGATTTTATGTGTTTAGGTGTAAAATCATAGACATGGTTTGTTCAGGATGTGCTGGCCTGTGCTAGATAGCACCGGCTACAAAATGCTTGTTTCTTACTTGGTTTTCCAGTTAATAATGACTTAAATTTAGGATCAGTCCCCCACATCGGCATGTCCGGAAAGTTTGGTACAAGAAAGACGTTCAAACCTTCAAATGACAATGTTGAAAACTTTCACAGGCAGTTAACGGGAATAAAAAGCATAAAAGAAGAAATACCCTTTCTTGTAGGTAATCCTTGTTTCCTTGTCGAGTGGAGAGTGGTCAGTTGCTTGGTGAAGGAAAGTTTCATCAGGTGTCCATGGAACTGGGAAGTCTCAAGCAGTGAATTCTGAGCAATGTGCTTAAATGGGGTAGTTACAGGCAGCAATTTTTGCAGTGCTTGTAGACGTTTTGTTTTCCTAATGTGACAAATAATTGAAAACTGATTTTTTTCAGACATGCTGTAACATTCTAACATGATTGTTCTGGTCTGTAAACTTGTTGTCGCAAAAATCTGGTAATATTTTTGGAAGGCATTTCTAGGAGAGTTCAAGCTAAGTCAGGAATCTGTCTGTCTGGTGGAGGTGTTCCACTCGCCTCATGTGCTTTGGTTGCTGCTTGTTCTTACGGGGAGGGGTTCATTTTTCAAGTTACCTGATCCTGAGGCGGTAAAAGATACTTCTTTTAAGGCGATTGGCACACTCCCAAACTTGAGAGAAGACAGAATCTGCTGTAGACCTTGAGACGTCTTTGAGGGGCAGAGGTTTGGCAACACTGTTTTGCTCCATATAAACAAGATAACAAATTCCTGCCTCTAGAAACACTTATTTATTTTTTTTTTTTCCTCCTCCCAAAGTTGTAAGAAGGCATTTTCAACAGGGTCTGTTTCAGATACAGGTACTTTCCTCTAAGTTAATTCATTTAGCCATATTTTTCAGTTGTTTCGAATTGAATGGAAATCAGTTAAATGTTGGTGAGCACATGGGTAATGTTATTGTGGCTTAGGTACCTTTTACTTCTGTTGCATTAAAGAAGTTCTCTTGATGTACTTTGAGTCACAGTTTAATCCGGATTGATATAAATTAAACTGCCGAATACATTCTGGCATTTCTGTTAGGCCAGACCGAGTGTAATGCTTTCAAGCCGCATTGTCTGGTCTCTTGCTGGCATATAGACAAAAATGTCTCAAGCCATTGCCGCCTGGCTTTTGGCAAGTAGCGTTTCTTTGGCTGCTGCTTAGTGAGTGCACTGTGTTCTTAAGCCGCCTGGGGGACACAGAGGAGGTGAAATGCTGCTTTTTCAGTCCTGGTCCGGGTTTGAGTTAGTTCGAGGCAGCAGTTTTGAGAGGGCGCTATTTAAATCGGCTTAGTGAAATGACCTGTATGAAACAAAATATTGACTTCTGAAGGCTGTTTTCCTGCAGTTCATGTTCCATGATTTCACTTGCAACTCAGCTACAAAAGTAATTGCGTCGGCACAGATGTACATGGTGGCAAATCATGGGAGAAGTTGAGGAGAGTGTTTTTAGGAACACTGAGATGTGAAATTGCATTTCCTGACGCCAGCTAGTGTGTGATACACTAACAGTCCCAATGTAGCTTTATCTGCAACAATTCCGTGCACGCCTGGAGAGCATAGCTTATTGTTACTTCTGTCTTAAGTTCCCAGTTCAAATTCTGGGGCTTCTTATGAATTTGAACTGAAAAGGAAAGCCTACAGCATGTCATGGATGTGAGAGAGCTGTGTCAAAATGGTTTTGATTGCCTCAGTTTTTTTCCCTGTTCTCCGTTGGGAGCTCAGTGGTTTAAAAACTGGGTTTTTTTCAGAGGACATACTTACAAAAGGGTATTATCAAGTTGGGTTTTTACTGCAACAGTGTTTTTGTAATGTTGTTCAACCTTTAATTCTGCCGGTGGAGATTGGAGGATAATAGCTCAAGAAAGTATTTCAGGTTTGAAAAATGACTTCCTTTGTGCACCAGAGATAGTGGCCGGTGTTTGTGAGAGAGGTTTCTGCTTTCTCCCTCCACTCCCTGCTGAAAAATTGTCTTGAGGTCTCTGTAATCGGCCGTCTGTGGCAGCTTCCTTGTCTGCAGTGGATTGAGTTGGAGTTCCGTTGTCATTTCTCTGTAGTGTATCTGACAGACTACTTTTTCTTCACAGAGGAGAAGAAAAAACTAGTTCGAGAGTTTGATGAGAAACAGCGCGAAGCAAATGAAACGGTAAACACCAGTTGAGGCTCCTGTCCTTCCTGACCACCTGGAATGTTGCCGCCTTACAAAGGACACTACTTCCAGATTTTGCTTTCTTTACGGATCCTATTCTGACAGGCGGATGTTGTATTTTTTTAATGCTTGATTAATTGATCTTATAGATGTGTCTGTGTCTGTCAGGGCAGTTGTATCTATCGATATACAGATACAGGCAAATATTCTTATAAGCCTGTTTTTTCAGTGCTCGGTTTGGATATCACCTTCCCTTTGTTGAACAAAGGAGAGTGATAGAGGTGCAACTAAAATTGGTAGAGATTGTAGGGGGGCATGTGGAGAATCTGCTGCCTTTTCCCACCACCACCACCTTCTGTCTGTCTTCATGTTGGTCTGAACTCATTTGATCTCTCTGTAATAGTCTGATAGTTAAATATCAGGTACCTTGAATCTGTGAAACCTCTACTTTATCAGCTTTTTGGGCCACAAGTGACATGAAACAGCAAAAAAACCTCAACATGTGACTCGTCTTTTTAAACAAGACTTTGTGGTTTAAGCTTTGTTTTCATATTAATGTGTTTGGATGTTTTTGAGTCACAGCTGCACGTGATGGTTTATTGCTCTGACTTAGTGGGTTTTATTGACGGGTGTCTGTGTAGGTGATGTGCAAGATGCTGAGCTCATGCTGTGTGAGAGCTGGTACTGGTGGGCAGCTTTAACCATTGTTACTGTGTGAGAGCTGGTACTGGTGGGCAGCTTTAACCATTGTGACTTTGTAACAACTGTCACTAAAAGCTGATATGAAAATTCACACACCTTGAATCCCTGGCAGCTCCCATTGCTAGGCTGGAGGTTCAGAGTGAGAATTTAGTGCAGTAGATCTCTGCTGCGGAGATACAGTGAGAAACCAATACCCATTCTGTAGATGCATAAACTATATGAAAGTGAGAACTGCAAATTTTGAAGTTATAGAGTGACCTTTAAGGAAAAAATCACACATTTCAGCCTCACAGTTAATTAATTAATTTCTTCTCTTTAACTCAAGGCATCATGCATCAGAAAGTCCATATAGGCTGAACAGCATTGGGCAGGTACATTGGTGTACTCAATACTAGGTGAGGGGTATATAGGTTTGGGTTTCATCCTCCTCGCCCAATCACATAAAAACATGTGAATCCCTTCAGCTGGTGGTGAGTTTTGAGGATCGCTGCTGTGAAGAATAGATTTGGTGCTTTAAAAACTCAACACGTTTTTCTTCTATTAAAGCTGCGGGAGATGGAGGAAGAGCTGAAATTTGCTCCTCTGCCGTTCCGCAACCAAATGATGAGCAAAATCCGGGCGTACAGGAGAGACCTCTCCATGTTCCAGAGAGAGATGAGAAGCACAGATTTGGGACTGGGCCCTGGAAGTCAAGGCGATATGAGATACGGAATCTTCTCCACAGAAAATGAGCAGAGTGTGAGAATTAGATACCAGTTTTATTTAACATCGCTGTGATTGGTAAAAAAATAATATTCCAGATATATCGTTTCGTGTGTTTCTACTTCAGTCTACTTAGTTTCTGTGCTTGTATAACTCCCTGCATATATCTCTGCATGTAACATGAATATCTCGGGGAGGAGGAAGAACACCTGGAACTCAAGAGATTTTCTGTTCTAAAACAAAGATAGGAGTAGATTCAAAATGAAACTCCTTGAATGCCATGTGGTTAGTAACTTACACAACATTCTTTACTGAAATGCTTCATTTAGTCATTCCCCTAGAATAGTGGAAACACAGAAGTGATGCTGTGGACTCAGAAGGAAGTTGAATTGATCTGCTTTTAGTCTCCGAAATTAGCAAAGCATGTGAATCATGCACTGTATGGCTTCTCTGGTAGGTTTCTCTTTTAAGCAATCTCAGTGTAAATCATTCCAAGAACATATAAGAAGTCATGCTCTAGCACTTTGTTCCCTATGGATGTGCTGCTACAGTGCAAGAAATAAACCAATGTGTTTGTGTACCAGGAATACTTAGATATGTCTGAGCTAGTGAGACTGAATTAACTTTTATTGTCAGGGTGCTGTCACCTCTACAACAAGTTTGTGAAGGTGGGCATCTTTTTCACCTGCCTGAGGTAAGGAAGGCTTGAGGGAAACTCTCTCCTTGGTACCTTGTTCTGCAGTAGCTTGGTTTTCGGTTCCTCTGAAACCTGTGAGTGGAACGGTAGTTTAGACTTTCTGAAGGTTAAGAAAATGCCTTATTTTGAGCTACCGTTTGACCCCGAGGTCAGCAAACATTTCTTATGCTCTGACTAAGGCTACTGGCATGAGAAGATCTTTGTTACTTAGCAGTCCATCTGTTAGTGCTATTTGTTCCTAATCCTTTTGACTCTGAACTCTTAATGATCTCCTGGGCAACCAGTTGTGAAGTCAGTCACAAATAAGGCTGAATTTAGATATGAATGGAAGGAAAAGTTACCATCTGGAAAGCAAAGGTACTACTTCCATGTAAATGTTCTTTGATGGAAAAGTAAATAGTTGCAAAGGCAATTTTTCAAGATTTGACCATAATCTTAGAACTCTTTCAAAATTAACTGGGCTACCTGCGTTAACATCAGAAGCACGTACAGCTAATACAGATGGATGGCCTAAGGAGTCACGTCCTAACTTCTTAATATGTCAGAAGCCTAATGTCTCTATCTTTGCTCTCAAGTTAAGCATATGTTGTTTTTCAGACTAATCTGCAGTCACAGAGAGTGCTGCTGCTCCAGGGAACAGACAGCCTGAACCGAGCCAGTCAGAGCATTGAGCGCTCGCACCGAATTGCTGCTGAAACAGATCAGATTGGCACTGATATCATCGAAGAACTCGGGGAGCAGCGGGAGCAACTGGAACGCACCAGGAGCAGAGTAAGCAGAGAAACTGAGGGCTTTGTACCCAGTGTTAGCTTAGTGGGAACCATGTACCAATCATCACTCTCAGAAACCTCTGTAGCAGTGGTAATCCACATGATGTTTCTACAGACCAAATCTGTCTGCCACGTTTCTGTGCTGTGCTCATAAAAGGAAAATAATCACTGTAGAAGGGCCCAAAGCACCATGGTATCCATAGGGAAATCTTACCTGGACACCTCCAGGGCCCATGCCTCAGGAACCCAGACTGTCTGTGATACAACAGGTTTTTTGGTTGTCTGTAACCTCACTTAGTTATGTGCTTCTTAATAACTGACTGACTGAGAAATACCTGACAGTTCATTTCTGAGCATTGCAAAGCTGAAATGGGTTATCTACTAACAGTTCAGAGCTCATAGCTGCTAGGTCACTTAGACCTGTCAGCGCAACACAGCTCATTCTTTGCTAGAAATTGAACAGTGTTTCAGAAGGTTCCAAATAAACACTGGGGCGAGTACCTCAGTATTGTTTTCTCCTGGTGTCAACAACTAGAATAATAAAATGAAACATAATGAAAGCAGCTTTCCAGCCACCTTCCTGGTGTTTGTAGATGAAGGTAAAAGGGCAAAAAGTGACCCTAAATTGCATGTCTGCCTTTGTATGTATCTAAGGGAAAGTATGCATGAAAGTCTTATTTCCTCCTGAGAAAGGAGACAATGCTGCCAGCTTGTATTGTGTGTAGAGAACAATGTTGTCTGAATCTTGAGGATGTCTGGTTAGCCTTGGCCCCATTATCAATTGCAACATGCCAGCACCAGCTCCTTCCAGGCGCAGATTTACGGTTGCTGTGCACTTGTTTGACGGGTAACTTTTGTTTATTCTTAGTTGGTGAATACAAGTGAGAACTTGAGCAAGAGCCGCAAGATTCTACGTTCCATGTCCAGGAGGTGAGTCCTGTGGCTGACTTAGAGCAGCGCTCAGCTGTGGCGTTGCTGTCTGCCCCTTTCAGGCAAAAAAGTAAAGAACAGAGTCAGCTGGGACTGCGGGCAGGTTTTGGGGAGCGTGCAAACAGAATGTGTGCCCATGGGCAGATGTTCATGTGTGTTGTTTGTTTTCTTTCTGGCGATTACGTAAAGGAGTGCAGGTAGTGGAGCGCTATTGAATTTGTGCTGCTTGTTTGGGATAATATTGGGTCTTTAAACCATCTGCATGATAAACTGTGGTGAGGCCATAAGCAAGTTACAGGGAATTGCTAATGGTAACTTTATATCCTTGTTACTAAGGTTAGAAAAAGCTGTGCCATAAATCACTGCAGCAGTAAGGGAGTCGATGACACAGACAAATCTCTTCAGCCCATAGTAATGCCCTAAAGTAGCTCAATTGGCTCACGAGAAACTGGGCCTGGCCATGTACTCTTTTGATGACTAAAGCCTTGGCTGCTTAAGTGCGTTTACAGTCTCTTAACTACATGGTTTAATTATCCTCATAAACCAGTTCTTGGAGTATAGTTCTAGTACGCATTTCCAACCTAACACCCTGTCCCTCATAGCCATTGCTAAAGGAAGTTATGACAACTGTATAACTTTCAATAGTAGAAGTACATTATTCTTTTGAGATTTTATTGGTTTACTTCAGCTACATGGTTCCAAGTAAAAGCACTACAATGCAGCTTTTAGCACAGGAGTTCAACTGATGATTTCTTCTTTGCTTAGTTGAAGGAGTAGGCACATGCAGCGCAGTAGGATCTGGATTATCTGGGGTGGGAGGTAAGAGGAACAGAACTGCTACTGTTGAAGTAGAAGATTTAAATAGAATTTCCAGGAAAAACATGAGTAAGAAACTGAGTTTGTTCCTGCCTGCTTAACAAGTGGTCTAGCTGAACCAGGGAGTATACTTACTGAAGGCAAGGTGATGATCAGATGATCTAGAATCTGCTTCCATAACCAAGGGAAGACCAGCTATCTTGGATTTCTGTATTTTTATTTTTTAACTCTAGAATAACCACTAATAAATTGTTGCTGTCCATCATCATCATCCTGGAGCTGGCCATCCTAGGTGGGCTGGTCTACTACAAGTTCTTTCGCAGCAGATGAACCTTCATGACTGAGATGAGCTCTTCCCCCACTGAGGAACCAGCTGGGCTGTCTGTTCCCTTTGACTGTCTGAGGACTGAACTCTCTCATGAGACACTTGTCCAACTGAAACTGTACTGACACTAGAAAGACAGTGAATGGGAGTAAAAGGCAGAGACAGACTTGAACTACTGGTAAGACTAATAAGAAGGTAATAAATATTTTATTGTCTCAATTTGTATATACTTAACTAAATGAATAAATCTTGGTATGTACTAAAGTAGCCACTGACCAGTGGAAAAGCTAGTTTATTTAAAAATTGAGGAGTTAACAGTATTTGCCAAGTGTTGACAATCTATCCACTCGAGTGCCTCAGCAGAGCTCTATAATGTCCACTGTACCCAACACTTCGGGTTCTTAAATCCTCACTTGCTCTTCACTGTCAGATTCATCTGGAGAACTGGGTGTTGGGAGTTCATCAAAAGCGGTGTGTGCTCCTTCCCTTGTCTGCCCAAAGCACGTTGCTATCACATCAACTGCCAGACTAGCAGTTGCATTCACTTCCTCTTGAGAAGCTCCAAGCAGTGGATTGACTTCAACCATGTCTACAGCTGAAAGCATTC